GAACGAGAAGACGCACTTTGTAGTGGCTGATACGTAGCCCTTGCAGCGGATTTCGCCTCCGTACTGCACCGCATCAGCACTTTCCTCCGTAGCATAAAATTCGTCTCAGTCCAACAAGACCCACAAAGGAAAAAAATGGGGTTTTTGTCGAGCTCATTCACTTACTTGAACAAGTGCAGAGTTCCCGCAGATCTGACAGGGGGGGAATTTCCCAAACATAAATCCATCAGCCACGATATGCGCTGCCTCGCCAACCTAAGAACATGTCATAGATGTGAGCAATCCACTACACTGCACCTCAGCCTTCGGCGTCAGAAAGGGGTTACAAGGAAAGACAGACAGATCAGCAGTAGGAAAGCACTGCACTAAAGACTCACCGATATTTTCTTATCGTTGTAGGGGATTCCATTTGCATCCAGAATTGGCAGCAACTGCTTCTTCGGGATTTCCTGCACAGGGCGCAGAAGCGAAGCCGGCGAAACCTTAAAATATGCAGCTGAGAAACCCCCGTACCAGCTGCAGCTGCACCAGCTGCAGCAACATGTTGGTGCCTACCATAAGAAGTGCTTTGAGGCTCCATATCGCATCGCTGCGTCTCTTCACGGCCTGCACTGCAGGNTGCCTACCATAAGAAGTGCTTTGAGGCTCCATATCGCATCGCTGCGTCTCTTCACGGCCTGCACTGCAGGGCTGCGTACACCGCAAACAACAGGAAAATTTGCAGTCAGGACACCGCCAAACGCGCATTCTAAGTACTGACAAAGTACTGTGGGGGGTGAGGAAGAGCAGAACTAAGCTGCATCCGTGCATATTGTTTGTTCGGGTTCGAGATGAGGCCATCGAGTCACACGCACTGCTCCTCGTCAATTGTTGTGTTGAAGCTCTTTGCAACTCGGAGAATGTCGCTCCAGCGTAACGCCTGCCACACTGTCGTGTAGACAATGCAGCACAAGACATCACATACGCTGCATGGGTTGCCTTTGGTGTCATCCTTTTCATGACTTACAACGCATTTGGGAAGCCCCTTATGCGCCTGTTTGTCTCTTTCTAAGGGGCCACCGATGCGCCTTTCTATCACTTTCTGCTGCTGATGATGCGAAAAGGTCTCTCTGCAGTGGTACAACATCTTCGGTTCCCTTACGTCTGATTTCCGCCAGGTTATCCGTATACTTCTTGCCACAACGCAAGTGGTACTTCAACTCGTCGAAGCCGTCATGGAAACGGCTCCAAACCTTTCGTATGAAGCGCAGAGAATCCAGCCCGATGCGCCCATCACATCCCTGCACACATGCACGGGATTNACCTTTCGTATGAAGCGCAGAGAATCCAGCCCGATGCGCCCATCACATCCCTGCACACATGCACGGGATTCTACTGATAGATATCTGGTCATCTGGACCAGCTTGAACTTGATTTTACGATGTTTTACTAAGTGTCAACACGCAGGAGAAACCACGAACCTTGCAGGTTGCGCGGTCTGTGGGGGCATAGTCGATCGCATATGGGTTTGGAACGGGCGGACGCTCGGTTTTGGGCACCATGATGTTGAACTTGAGTTTCTTTGAAGCCTACAGACGGGCACTGTTGCTAGGGGTGAATACCAAGAAGGCTTGCTGCTGCGGCTTGCCGGCTCAGGTGTATGCGCAGGCAGGAAGACCCTTCTACGGACTCATCGTGAAGACGATAATAAGAATAATAGCTAAGGGGTTCTGCAGCTTCAACGAACTGCCGCCAGCAGCTAAGGACGCTGCTGTGGCTCCGCTTGTTGCGCTAGCGACTCAGCGACGCAAAGGCCACAAAGTCAGCCTCAGCCTTCTTTGTGAAAGTATATAAAACAATTTTAACGAAGATTTGAAGGGAAGAGCCGTTAGATCACCAATCACGAACACGCATGTCTTCCGGGTGTGTGTGGGGTTGTGGTGCCACCCAGAGTAAACACCTCACTTACAACGTAGCTACAACAAGCTGTAAGGGAAAACTTTCATCATACTTATGGATGTATATCGCTTCTTTTGTAATTTCCGAAGCCCCGTTTGCCGCGTTAACGCCTCTATAGCAGTTATTAACTTATATGCGTTCCCGCCAGTCTCAGGTGACCACCATACACCCTCCTCCCTTTAACCTTCTGTGCGTCTGGGCAGGAAAATAACTTCGGTGTATATAGCTCGCGCATTTCACTCATTTGGCGTGCGCAGCGCCTCCTGCCTGCCTAACACCATCTCCAGTAACTCTAAGAAACATACTGTGTGCTATCTGCTCCTGCTTGCGTCCCTACTACGGACCCCAGAGAGTCGCCTTATCACCATCCAGTGGAATACAACTAGCAGCCTTAGCCGCCAACAGTTGGCAAGCATTGAAGCAGCCAGAAGCTCGCGAGATATTCACAGGAAAAGGACTCTAGAGTGAGATCAGCATAGTAGCCTAGAGTAATACGACCTCTTGCAACAATGCAAGGGTGCACACCGTGCATGGAGCGGCGCGAGATCAGAGGCTCAATGCCTCAGCCTCTTCCGCAGATGCGCGTTTTATCGCCATCCTATGCTCTACAGAGTGCTCTCTCTACGCCGAGCTCGAAGTACTTCTACTGACTGAATGTGAAACTGAAATAGCAAAACGAGCTGGTATACAGCAGCGGTGGTCCGATACCGCAAGTACTGCAGCAAAAGCTGTGCAGAAACGTTTTCTTAAAGTTTATTACGACTTATGGGGGCAAAAATCCCCCCGAGTTCACCAAAACGCGCACACTGCTGAAGGCCTGGCGCATCTTCAGCAGCCCGTCATTTTGAGCAGAAGCCCAAATAGTGTTTCCTCTTAACCAACAAGATCCTCACACTATCCCCTCCACGGAAACAAGAAGAAACAACTCTGGATTAGAATCTGAGTTTCTTGCGGAGGAAAAGAACGTCCTTCGAGACCTTGCCAGCCTTCTCGTTGATGGGG